ATTTATTGAAGCCAAATGAGCTTTATGTTCATCAGGAGTACCATCAATTCTAAAATATTGATTGCATTTATACAACCAATCTTTCAATTCTTCACCATTGAATTTGGGAAATTCTATCTTGGCAGTTTTGGAAGTAAGTGGCCCCATACTTGTATTTGAAGATGAATTTCCATAAATTTGAGATCCTCGAGAAGTTGAAGAGGTATCAAGTTGTGCCATGATCTAATTTTGTTGCACATTCAGACCTGACATTCGAGTTCTCAAATCTGACACTTGGTTTTCATACTTTTCCTCCATGGCTTTAAGTAGTTGTTCATAATGTCCGCCCATCTCAGCCATAGCTATTTTAACAACATCATCAATCAGTTTCTTCTATTCTTGTAAGCGAGTTTCCATGATGCTAGGAACTTGCTCTGATACCAAATGATACCAGTAAACAGAATTTAAAGGAAGACAAGGAAAATCCACAAAAGAGAAAGGATCTTCGATATATATCCTTTGCAATAAAGTCTGAAATACAAGAGAATTACAGAAGAGTTTAAGAAGATTGAAGAACACCAAAATAACTGTACACTCAACAAAGAGTTACAAAACACGTTTATACTAGCATATTAACTGATACAAACCAACAGTAACTGATATGCCACCTGCACGTGACTTCTAAGTTTTTCTACATATCAGGATCGGTCTTGATGGTAGACTCAGCCAAGCAATTCGTTCATTTGAAGTAGAATCTGAACTTCCGGATTCCAAGATACGTCTCTCTTGACTGGAATTGAACTTGGTGCCCTTAGAGATGAAATTGCCACAGGTTTTGCATCGGATGCTGATCGGCAACATCGTTCCAGGCTTGATCTGCTGGTTCTTCGGTTGTCGGATTCTGGGCAGCCTCGACGTATCGAAGTCTGAGTGGTAACATTTTAATTGTGAATACTTTTTTTGTCACGGAGGACTTCTCAACTATCATTTTTCTTTTTTCTGAACGGGTTGCATTTTGGAGACAGCTATTCGAATCACAAGTCTTGCATTTGGTGCATCTTATTGCAAGGTATATATCTATCGAAATTACAAAATTTAAGTGCCAATTATTAATACGTTTTTGTCTTAAACATGGGAAAATTTGAGGAAAGGAGAATTTTTTTTCATAGCTAAACTTTTAACTTTCTAAATCTAAAATCTAAAATTTGAGGATTAACTGTTAGATTGGAAAATCCGGTTCAATTATCAATACATTGCAATTTTTGCATCCCCTTAATTTATATAAATTTTCTATGAACGAGTACAAATTTAGGGATAGGGTATAGTGTTAACCTTAGGGTGAGGGGAATGGAGGACAGTGAAGAGAGGAAGAGAAATTATATTTTTTATTTTTTATTTTAATTTTCATTTCTTCTTTATCACTAATTTAGATAAATGATTAAATTAAAAAATAAAATAAAAAAAATCTTTTTCCTCCCTCTTCTCAGATACTTTTAATAGTCAAATAAATAATATTTTTCTACTCCCCTTCCCTTCCTTTGATTGGCTTCAACATTAGCATATTATTAGAAATTAAAATGCTGGATTGGGCTAAAGGTGATAGTAATAATATATTGTGGACTTGCTCCAAAGTCCAAACCCAGTTCTATCCTATTGAAGCCCTAGTTAAACTGAAAGCCCAGTTGCACTCTCTTCTGGTTCCAGCCTCTTCTTCCCTAAACCCCCAAAACCCTAACCCTATAAATTTCAATTTCCATCTCTGACCTTAGCTCCGTCACCTCCTCCAAAACCCTAAATAAACCCTCGCTGCCGTCATTTTATCGGCTCCACTATGTCCGAGGTTGACGTTTCCCGTTCGGAGAAGAAAAAGCACAAGAAAAAATCCATGCCGGAGTCCGACGCTAAAGACACCACCACCGACGCTCCGTCGGTGACGGACACTGATTTCTTGATCAAGCCTCAAAGTTTCACCCCTCCTATAGACACTTCCCAGTGGCCGATCCTCCTCAAGAACTACGATCGCCTCAACGTTCGGACTGGTCACTACACTCCTTTGCCGTCCGGGTACTCCCCTCTGAAGCGTCCTCTCGCTGAATACATCAGGTATGGTATCATGAACCTTGATAAACCAGCTAACCCATCTTCGCACGAGGTTGTTGCTTGGATTAAGCGCATTCTCCGCGTCGAGAAGACTGGCCACAGCGGTACTCTGGACCCCAAAGTCACTGGAAACCTCATTGTTTGCATTGACAGAGCCACTCGGCTTGTCAAATCACAACAGGGAGCAGGCAAAGAGTATGTCTGTGTTGCCCGGTTGCATTCCAAGGTGCCTGATGTTGCCAAGGTGGCTCGTGCGCTTGAGACATTGACCGGGGCTGTCTTTCAGAGGCCGCCATTGATTTCTGCTGTCAAGAGACAGCTTAGGATCAGGACCATCTATGAAAGTAAGTTGCTTGAGTATGATGCAGATAGACATTTGGTTGTTTTTTGGATTTCTTGCGAGGCAGGTACTTATGTTAGGACTATGTGTGTGCATTTGGGGCTGATTCTCGGGGTTGGTGGGCATATGCAGGAGCTTAGGAGGGTGAGGTCTGGGATTTCGGGAGAGAGAGATAATATGGTGACTATGCATGATGTTATGGATGCACAATGGGTGTATGATAATTATAGAGATGAGAGTTATTTGAGGAGAGTGATTATGCCTCTTGAGGTGCTTTTGACTAGTTATAAGAGGTTGGTTGTGAAGGACTCTGCTGTGAATGCTATTTGCTATGGTGCTAAGTTGATGATTCCAGGGCTTCTGAGATTCGAAAATGACATTGAGGTTGGGGAGGAAGTGGTGTTGATGACTACTAAAGGAGAGGCAATTGCCCTGGGCATTGCAGAGATGACAACTGCAGTGATGGCCACTTGTGATCATGGTGTTGTGGCTAAGATTAAGAGAGTTGTGATGGATAGGGATACTTATCCCAGGAAGTGGGGGTTGGGTCCAACAGCATCCACGAAAAAGAAACTGATAGCTGAGGGTAAATTGAATAAGCATGGAAAGCCAAATGATAATACTCCTAAAGAATGGTTGAGAAATGTGGTGTTGCCGACAGGTGGAGATACTATGGTTGCTAGTCTTGCAGCTGCAACAGCAGAGACTGCCGTAGTGGAGAAAGAGGTTTCTATTGTGGAAAAGGAAAAGAAAAAGAATGAGGACAAGGAAGATGGTGAGGGTTGCAAGCGCAAATTGGATGAAATTTCTGACAGCCCTGCTCCAGCTGCTGCTAAGAAAGCTAGAATTGAAGAAGTTGAGAAAGAGGAGACAGTGAAGGTGAAGAAAGTGAAAGTGAAAGTGAAAGAGGCAGGAGTTGAGGAAACTGAAGTTGAGAAGAAAGAGAAAAAGAAGAAGAAGAAGAAAAACAAAGAGGGTAGTGATGAAGAAACCGTAGAGGAGACTGAGAAGGAGAAGAAAAAGAAGCACAAAGAGAAGAAGGTTGAAGCTGGGTCACCAGACAGAGAAAAGTCAGAAAAGAAAAAGAAAAAGAAGAGCAAAGAAACTGAGGCATGTGATGGGGCTGCCAATGGTGAAGCTGAGGTTGGGGCTGATAAAAGTGAGAAGAAAAAGAAGAAGAAGAAGAATAAAGATGTTGAAGAAGATTAAGTCTCAGAATTTTGGTTTTTCTGGGGTAGACCCCTTTTCATGTGTACCTCTTTCTCAATCTTCATGGCAACTACAGTTAACTTTTGCAGTTTTTGCAGATTTTCAATGTAGTTTCTGCATAATTAGATTTGTATTGTGTAATCGAATGCCTTTTTCTTTGCCTATAATATTTCGAATTATTTTCTGTTGTTTGCTTTAACGTTTGTGAGTTCATATTAGTAATTACATTGATTTTTTCCCTCCCATGTAATGTTGCCTCTGCTTAAATGTGATTAAAGATTAAAAGAAATGCTTTCTTAAACTAGACATCATAGGAACATCCCGAGTTCTATCATGTTTAACTGTTTGTGTCTGTATTTCATTGTTATGATATTGCAGCCTTCCGTGATTTTTTTTTGTTTTTTTTTTGGCAAAGGTAATGGTTAGGAAATTAGTAGAGTTAGTTTGTTGGCAGCTGGAATTTTTCCAGAATGGTGAACATTTTACCCCTTCATATAAGGCGCGCGGCCATTAAGTCGCAAGTTGGTGGAGTTCACGGCGGTAACAGAGTTCGAAGCCCCTGATCTCCGTCTCACCCAAGCCCTAAGGCTTGGGACCAACCATTGGTCTTCAAGCCCGGTTGGTGCCTTCCATGATTCTATCCCTTTCTTTTTTGTAACCATCTAACTTTGAGTCGTGCGTTCTTACTAGTTAAAACACCTGTTAAGGTCTTCTGATTTTACAGGGTATTTAAGTAATTTTAAAAATAAAATTAAGAGTATTTAAGTAATTTTACAGAATAAACTGCATCGAATTGATCTATAAAATAGTTTTTTGTTTTATTTTTTATTTTTTATTTTTGTACATGCGCATCATTTTTAGGTTTCAATCCCTAGACCCAAATCTCTGGAACTTTTTTTAGTTTCTTATTTCTTTTGACCAACACAAAATTTTTATTTCATTTTTTTTCTAATTAATACAACCCCTATTTCACGAATTAGTTCTAGAGTGATTAAATTCAATAAATAGTTTATTAACTATGTGATTTATTTCAATTTAGTTTAAAAACAATTTTTTCTTTCAAAATAATTTATAAACTATCAATTTTATTTCAAAATGGTCTACTTGATTAACATTCCGTTAACTACTAACGTAATTCTTTTTAGTTATTGACAAGTTGCCCCCTAAACTTTTGAAAAATATTAAATATAGTACATGTATTTTTGTTTTTTGCAATATTTTGATTTTAAAGTTTAAATTCTATGTTAAATGTAATAATTAATTAAGATAATAATTTTAATTTACATTTAACAAGATTCTAATTTTAATTTATAACAATCAATATTGTAACTTAAATTTTATTATTTCTTAAAAAATTTAATACCATTATTAAATTACATATTTTTTTTACTA